AACTCCTTTTGCTCGAGCCTTGTGATATTTTTCCCCAACATTCAAATTTTGAAAGACATGCTCCTCAATCTCTAGGATCTGGAGGAAGTACCCTCGGAAAGAACTCAGACTTTAGCACAAAATTGAAATAGATTGCCCTAATTATTCGAAGCTTGAAAAGTTAATACTTGAAGTTGCTTGAAGAATTTGGACCCTATGTGCAGTAGGATGAACTTGGTACGCACTGCCCCAACATTTGAATCTTGGAAAGTTGCCCCTACTTCTAGGAATTGAGAGATTTATTAAAACGAGGAAACCGAGTCATATCCTGTTGTGGCATGAATGCCTCTTTGTAAGGTATGCCCCTTGTTGAACAATGCTTTGAAATTTGATCCAAGTTGATTGAATCTCAGAATGATCACCCCTTGTCAATAGTATGCGATATACCCTACGATCATTAGTATTTGCCCCTATTTATAGGAGTCCTCTTAGATGCCTTTCCCCTAGTTAGAAGCTTCTTGGAAGGATGGATTTTGATCAAACCAAATTCGATATTTCTTTGACGCTAAGTATTGATTCGTAGATAAAATTGTACATTTTGAAAAAGTAATTCCATTTGATGCACATGCAAGCTTTGAAATAGAAATTGATTGTTTGAAAAGAAATGGAAGATTAGAAGATGAATATTCAAAGAAGCGAAGTAGTTAGAAATGATTTTAACAAACATAGGAGTCAGTTTAACACAAATCTTGTTGGGTGTGCTTTCATAGTGAACCTAGCCTCAATTAGGACTTTTTAAGGTTATAACGTGGTCGTGGTTCGTGGTTTAGGAAACAAAATATATAAGGCTCAAAATTTATTTAGCCCACCCCATTCTCCTTAATTTTCTCCAATCCTAAATTCAATTAATGCAACAAATGGGTTTAATCCCTAAAAGAAGTTTCGTAGTTGCGCAAATGGTGAGATGCGTAGATAAAGATCTAAGCACCGATGAAAAGTATTGATAAGATCTGAGCGTTGATAAGATTCAAGCAAGGATAAGATCTAAGCATTTATGATAAGCCTTGATGATTCTTGAGGTGGCAGTCACAAGATTGTTTTCCAATTTATTATTTTCAATCCCTTATTTTTGCATGGACCGATTTTTTTGAATTTTTTTTTGGAATTTGATCCATCGGGATGCCCTAACTTTTGCCCAGGTCAAGTTTTTTTTTGCTTTAACTTAGCGGGCTTTCACCTTTTTTTATAATTTCTTTTTTTTTTGCTTTTGGTTTTGAAAATTTGTGACTGCCATGCTGATTGTTGTAAGCTTCATCTTCATCCTTTCTTCGATCTTGATTGATATGTTGGGGAAGAAAGACGTCATGGACTTTTGTTTTTTATTGATTCCTCAATCTTGGACGATGAATGTGGGGAAGATGATGTGCTCGAATCTTTGCTTAGATCATTCTCTCAATGATGTATTGAGGAAATAGATATGCTTGAACCTTTGCTTAGATCGTTCTCTCGATGATGTATCGAGGAAAGGGATATGCTTGAACCTTTGCTTAGATTGTTTCGATTCTCCTGGGTTTGAATGCATCATTTAATTAATTGAAATCTACCATGCCCCTGGTTAAGATTAAGGATTTTTTTTAGAATAAAAAAAACTCTGACTTCTGGCTCGAGGGGGTTAACTATGGATTAATTCCTTATATCTCCATTGTTTAGGATATGAAACAATGCCTTACATCGTCATCTAAGCCTTACTATTAAAAAGCATACATCAGCAAAATTCGATTATTTAGTATTTTCATAATTCTCCATTAAAGTTTGTTAAAGTTACGCAATGGAAGATAGAATAGAAGAATAGAAAGTCGTTAATTATTTATGGAATGAATCGATTTCAAAAACATGCATGCTTAATTTATTAGAATTACTTAACCAAAGAGTACAAAGTTTATAACAAATAACATTTAGCAAGAAAGAAATTACAATTTGAAATGATAAAGCCTAATTATCTGGGAGATAAGCTCTCTTGTTGATTCACTGGCTTTTGGGGATTCTTTTTAGTCTTTGGATTTGTCAAAGCAAGGGCGGCCATTCGGCAATGAGACCCCTTCTTCAAAAGTCAACTTCTTATTGTCGATCAAATCTTAGACCTTGTGTCTGAAAGCCCAACATTTTCTATGGTATGCCCTAGAGAGTTGGCATGATACTCGCACCTTGCATTTGCATCATATTTTGGTGGGAGTGCCTCGATTGGAGGAACAAGTGGCTTCAGCTCTACCAACGATGCCTTGAGTAAATGTTGTAGCAGTTGACTGTGAGGTATGGGAAGTGGTTCAAATACCTTAGGTGATAGCTTTTGTCTTTTCCTTTGTTAGGAATATCCCTTATGTTGATAATATCATTGTAGTTGATGTTGAGGTGGGGGAATTTCCCGTGGTGGCGGCATATGTGGCGTTGAATAGGCCTGTGGTTGGGATGATGAAGGGTTGCCTTTGCTTCTTAGTAATAATTGCATTATCAAGTTCATTTGAGTCTTCAATTGGTGGACCTCTTCCTTCAACAATTCTTGGTCTCTTTTGAGTTCCTCCATGGCTTCTTGAGACATGATTTGAGTTCGCTTGTCAGTATCAAGAATCTTGCTAATTTGATGACGGTTGGATAAGGGTGGAAGTGTAAATGATATGAACTTTGTACAAAATGGATGAAAATGAAAATGTATGAAAATGCTTGGGAATGCAAAAATGTTTCATGGATATGCAATAAGACGTAAACGTAGTATGATGGTAGACATAGGGGTACCCTATACAAATTTAAAGATGATATCCTACTCTGACTTAGAAATTGAGACAGGCGGGGACTCCTTACAGACGAAGATGATAATAGACATAGATTTGATGATACCCTACATTATCTCAGAGATTGAGACAAGCAGGAACTCCCTAAGTATTATCGCCAAAAAAGGACGAGGAGTCCCTATAGGATAGGGATGATGATATAGAAGGAAGCCATATGGGCTAAAGATAGTAGTAGAAGAAAAGATAACCCTTGCGGGTTTGCATATTATAGTGGGATTTGTGAAAGGTACCCTTAGAAGGTAGGTTCCTAGTATTGGCCTACAGATATTCTACCCCCTGTAAGGTGGCTTTCTTAAGGGTATCATGAATGACACTAGAGGGAAAGGCACAAGGGTCTCCCTTAAGCGGAGTCTCTTTACAGACCTAAACTTTCGTCTTTAGGTCATGAAAGGTCTCATCACGAGTTTTTGGTTTAAAGGACATATAAAGAGTCATAGGTGTTATTCCAAATTCCTACTTCCCAAGAGGATGTCTCTCGAGAGGTATTCCTTTTGCGGAACTCCACCGACTCTAGGCGAAGTTGTCACATAAACTCATAGGGTTGATGTAACCCCTTGGCTAATAAACGAACCTTCTTTCTAAGGGTTTTTTGAGGAAAAAATTTGTGAAAATTAAATGCCACCACGGATAAATAAATATAATGAATAATAATAAGAAATAAGCAAGAAATAGATAAATAAAGCGAAAATAAAGAAAAACAAAAAATATAAGCAAAACCATAAAACCTAAAGGAAAGCTTCTAAACCTAGGATTGAGTCCCCAGTAGAGTCCCCAGTTGTTGTAACTGGTTTTTAAATCAGAGTCGCCACCCTTAATTTTTATCCTAAAGGAAGGGAGTATAAAGGAATAACCCTAAAAGTCAGAGATTCTAGATTTGGACTCGGTTCTAGACGAGGGGAAGGTGTTAGGCACCCCTTATCTACCTTGTTGACAAGGATACTAGGTTTAGAAGCACAATCTTAGGAGATAGGGTTTTTAATTATTATTGGGAAAAAGGGTTTGAATTTTATTTAGCGGGACTCGCCACGATTTTAATCGTATGCCTATGTATCCTCTTATGAGGAATCAGAGTCTTATTTTGTAGTTCGTGGTTTTGTTTGTGTTTTTTATGGATTTGCGAAATATATTTTAATTTCCCGCATACGAGTCTAAGAGTGTGAATAGCGGAGTTTGTTAGACCAAGTTCAAAGTTAATTTAAATATATTTGTATTCCTTTTCGAAAATTAATTGTTTGAATTAATTTTATTTGCGAAAAAAGATTTGGTGTTTGGTTGAATATTTTGTATACGTTGAGCGAGGGAGTCTGGTATAGTCTCCTTATCACGTGGCAAGATATTGGCCATGTGTCGCTCGCAGACATAGTAATTCGATGAATTGCACGGGTTTTAATATTTTGGTTTCGAATAATAAACTCGTAGACGATGTGCTGACCGATTTAATTACTCGGAGATAGACATCCTATTATTTATAGAATGTTTGAATTTATTAAATTAAAGAAAAACGTTTAGAAATACGCATATTTTTATGATTAAAAATATGATTTTAAATTCTTTTCATTTCTAGTTAATTATAAAATCAGCCTAAAAGTTAATATAATTACAAATAAACAAGAGTAACTAATTAAACTTATAGAAAATAACAAAAGGGAAGTGTAGCATTAGTTAGTTAGTTAGTAAAAGTTGGGGTGTGAATAACTGGGCCCTAAATCCAGATATTGGATTTAGGCCCAGTTGTGTGAGGGGTGTTGTTTTGAACGTAGCAACAAAAACTGGAGGTGCAGGAAATAAGGGCTTGAGCCCAAATAGTTTTTTTGATCCAATCTGCAGGGGTGTGGAAAAGAATTGAGGGGAGGCCCAAGATCCAAATGAATTTCTAAAATCCCAAAAAATTAACTCTAACTAAAGTTACAACTTAGAAATAATAATTAAAAAATAACAATAAAAAAACCAACAAAAAAAAACAATTGAATGAATAGAGGGGTGTTTCCACCTCTCATCACGTTTGAAATGGCATAGTTTTTGCTATTTTGACTTTTCCAATTTGTTCTAACCAATCACATATTGCCACTTTATCTATTATAATTAAAAATAAAAATAAAAAAATAAAACATTAGATGAATAAGCAAATGAAAATAACAAACTATGAATTTTCTTCCCCTTTCATTCTTCTCTCCCTCATCTCTCGATGCCTTCTTTCTCTTCACTTAAGAAAACCAAAACAACAAATTTCATATTTTCAACATAATTCACACGATTTCTTTACACGGCAATCAATTTCATATTTTTTTTGGAAAGAACTGAGTAAAAATATAGCAGTCTACATGCAAAACATAAATAAAAAATAGAAAGAGGTAAAAGAATGAAACTTTCAGCAACGTCCATGGAAGAACATCGAAAGATCTTACTGTAGGATCTTTCTTGATAGGATGCATAAAGGTTGGTCGTGCAGTGGAATCGAGGACGGTTGGAGATCTGAACGCGCAAAGCGGCGGTTTCCGTTCAGAAACTGGTAGGGAGCGTGGTCGTTGGGAGTTGCGGTATTTCTCATGGAGAGATCGCCGGTGTTGATCAATTGTATGGTGTCTTCCGCGGTGATTCTGATTTGTCTTTATCACTTTCTTTTGTATTGAACTTTCAACAAAATACCTACAACATCTTTAAAAAATATCAATTTCAAGAATAACAAACAAATCCCTTTTTTTTGGTATTATTGTTGTTGTGAATTTCCTGCTAAAAAATGGTTGTTTCCTATTTACAAGTTTTTTTTTTGAAAGTTTGTGTAATGGTATTGGTTTTAATGGAGAAAATTAGTAATGAAATATGGATGATGATGTAAATTTTTAGAAGTTACAGGTTCAGTTTCATGATATCATTTGAAGGAAAGGTTCATTGTGAAAAGTTTATACATGCTTAGAAACTGAGAAGTATTAAAAAGGTCACACAACATATAATGTCTTTTTTAATAAAATATATTAGAAATATATATAATAATAAGACTAAAATTAAGATTGTGGCCAAATAATATAGAAATAAGTTAACACAGTATAAAAATAAAGTGCCAAATAATATGAGAATTTGTTAAATATGCACGGGTATGATACTGTGTAGAAATCATGTACAAATTATTAATAAATAATATGATTAAGAAAGAAACCATACGATAATTATCATCATATGGTTTAAACAAATAATAATTAAAAATTAAAATTGAAAATTAGAGGTAGGCCTCGTATGAAATCATTGGCCAAAACAAAAATATCTGCAACAGTATTAAAAATAAAATTTTGAAAGAAGAAGAAATTTGCAACAAAAAAAAGGAAGTGTGTGTGTGAATGAGTAAAATTGTGAGAGATTGTGGATGGTCTAGAAGTGTGAAAAATATGTCCTATTTATAGATAAAAAAACATCTAAATTGGAAATAAAATAAAATTGACCAATCAAAAACAAAGTGTGACACAAATTGACATCAAATGGCCAATAAGAAACACTTATTTAAAAAGAAAAGAAAATTAGTGACAAAAAATAGAAGAAAAAAAAAGAATACGTTGAAAGTGTAGCACAAGAGATTGAAACTCGTCACCTTACGCTTGCAAGCATCATTCTTTACCAATTGTGATGTGTTACACATTTGTAAATAAACTCAATTTGAAAGAATATGAAAGGTATGCATATATTTGCTATCTTTAAAAATACAAATAATTTGAATTGAATCATTATATTTTTAAATAGGTTTGGAAGCGAATAGTGTAAAAAAATCAAATAATATTATAAAAACAAAGTTTAGAATATTTTTTTATTGGGTTTGAGAATGAACATCTATAAAAATCAAATAATATTATAAAAGCAAAGATTAAAATATTTTTGACTAGACTTGAGAATAAACAATAGTCCATGAAGAAATAAGTCTTTTAAGATTCAAGTTGATGTTTAAGTGTCTTTAAAAGAAAAGAAATCTCAAGTGAGCAAAGAAAAAATGACATAAAATTAAATGCTCAAGTGATCAAAAGAAAAATGGCATGAGATATAAATGGTAAAAAATAATGGTACATAAAAGTAAAGGCACAAAATAAAGGCCCAAAGTAAAGTTAATTGTTAGTGAATTAGAAGTTAGAGATCAAGTATAACAAAAGGTTAGTTGAATGACCATCTTGAAGCTTGCTTTTGAAAACTCATTAGAAGATTGATAAAACTTAAGCCTCTCAACAACAAGTTTCATTTGCTTTTTGTCAAGTATATCTTTCATTTCAAGCACTCAAGGCAACCTCATGTGATCGACGATATTCAAATGATTCACTTAGACCAAAATTCATGAATTTCATTAGAGGATTGATAGAATCAAAACCTCCTAACATTGAACTTCAAAGTTATTGGAACCAAGGTTTCATATTAAATATACTTGGACTTGCAAACATAGGTTTGGTCCATGAATGATCATTTTTCAAATCGGGACAAATTTAGCGTTATGTTAAGCAATCGTAAATGGACTTACGTAGAAGCTACACCTATTTTGAGGTTGGTCAATAGAAATCTATGTACCATACATGTTAGAGAAATAATATATAGATCATTCTCCAAAAAACATGTAGCACAAGTAAAAACAAGAAAGGGATAAGATGAAGAGGGAGGGGAATGATAGTGTAACCAATGCCAACACTAGGGTTTTAGATATCGACAACACCATTCATCTATTTTGATGGATTTAGTTTTTCAACCTATCAACACACAAGATCCAATGAGGTTGAGGAAATTGTCCTAAAGTAATACTCAAGTATCTCCAAATCAGTTCCAATCATAAAATAACAAAATATGTTTAATATAAAAACTATATTTAAATGATTTATAAAAAGGAAATAATTGGTAAAATACACAATATATATTAAAACATCAAATAAAAATCCTAAAAAAGCATCAGAGGTCAAACATGAGTCAACAAGTGTTGACAAAAAATTTTAGAATTTTTTAAAGTCAGAAACTATTTTTAAAATATAAAGAAATAAGCAAAATAAAACCAATTTTTTAAAAAAAAATAGAAAAATAAAAAATAAAAATAAAATGAGGTTACCAATATTTTGCAAGAGGTCATTGGATCCTTCCATAATTTTTTCAGAATTTAAAATGATCAAAAAGTATTTTTAAATAATTAAACAAATCAAAAGATGATAAAAATCCATAAAAAATATCAAATCATAAAATAAAAATTGTGAAAAAATAAAAATCAGAAATAGAAAAATCAAAAGTATTTTTGATAATTTTTCACAATTTTAGGAGTTGAAATAAATTTTTTCATGAATTTTTGAAGTTTAAAACAATTAAAATAAAAATCAGAAAATAAAATAATAAACCAAAAAAATGTGGACCATCTGATCATTATCAAAACGTATTAGTAATCAAATCTAAGGGATCTGACGTGTTGTGCATGATATGGACATTAGTGAATAAACCACTGAATCATTTATTTTTAATACAGATTTTAAAAACCAAGTGGCGCCTTGTCATTGGTTGAAGATGACACGCTGGTCATCTTCAACCTCTAGCCACATGTGAGTTGCAGGTTTTGCAAATAGAAAAATTAGAGATCCAGACCGGTGTCATTTGATTCGTCTCATCAAGACGGGGACAATTGTACCTTCGCGAAAAATTTATATAACTTGTGTTTACCGTGGTTATTGGTAAACAACCGTTGATCTTCCAAAAAGGGTAATTTTTTGGTTACTCGCAGGATCGATCAGTTTGATCCTAGGACATATGCTAATTATTGGTGTTGTTTGGATATAAATGTTAATATTAATAAAGAACGCACGTTCGGCTGAGAAAGGTTGAGGTTTTAGATGAGTTTGAGTGTAGAAAGCAAGTAGAAAAGGGGTTGAGAAGAGTTTAGGTGCAGAAATATGGTAAAAAGTGCAAGTAAAATGCAAGGGAAAATATATTTTTGCAAGTAAGATAAAAGGCAAGGAGTGTAAAGAGGAATGTAAAAGACTTTGATTATAAAATGTGGTGTTTCAAACGTACATTCTCAATATTCTTTCTCACGCAGCGGGTACTCGAATAGTATTGAATGACTTGTACAGTTAGTTGAACACCCGGAAATCTACATAAACTTCCTATATTTATACTAGAACTAGATAACCGTCAAGGAGTTGCCTTGCTCTAATATGGGGGCAAGTGTCCTCTGCATGTGCTTCGACTTCTATCTTCATGCCACGTTGCTTTTCTCAACTGCCAGGCGAACTGCTTTTCCTTCCTTTCTTCAGATTCAAAATCACTTGTTGCTGATACGAGGTTTCCTTTTAGTCGAAGGCCACAGAGGCCTTTCAGTTGAAGGCTGCAAGAACCTTTTGGTCGAAGATAAATCTTTAACTTAGAAATTTCTCTAAGTATTTTCTCATCTGTCAAAGTATTTCCAACTTAGATTTGTTCAATCTATTTTTGGCCCATAAGGCCAATATGTTGTGGGTGTCGAATTTAGGAGCTAACAAATTTCCCCCCAATAATTTCAATTTCGACGCAAGAAGAAATGGTCATTCTTTGATATTCCCATTCTACGTCTTCTTTTTTGGCCACAAAAGTCAATCGTGCATGCTTTTCGCCTTCTACCAACCACTGTTGGTCTTCAGAGTCATCATTACCCTTTTCCTAAGACGTCGCTGTCAATCAGCTATTACCACGTTGCCATGATGTCCATTATCCCTACAACATAGGAAATTATGGAAAAGTTTCCATTACCTGTACGATAACTGCCTCAACATTCACCACGTGCTCCACTAACTCTGCAGCATTAAATTGCCTTGAGGGAAAACACTCTTCCATGGACACTATAAATATCCATGAATGCTTTTCTTTAAAAAATTTACAACTCCTAATATTCCTTATCTCCTTGCAAAGAGAAATCTTAAGAACTTCACCTTCTTCGTTCTTTCATTACCTTCAACCATGGATTTCCTTTCAAACGCACCAAACAATCCCAAAACTAAGAACGTTTCTGACTTACAACGACAACCAGAGATCTTTTCCACTAGTCATGTTCCTGTTTAGACTAGGGAGCGAAGGGTTGTTTCAGAACCCATGACCAGAGAATGGCGTGAAGCTTATGATTCTCAGTTACTTATTCCCATTAAGTATTCTGGGCACATGTACGCCATGTCTGGCCCACTATCTGCATGCTTCGAGAACCCAAAACAAAATAATGCCTTCTTCCCAACTCACCCTAGGCTCAAGCCTATAGGTTGCACGAAGAAACCCAGGAATGGCCCTGAGGATGCAACCCCTGCTAACCAGCAATACTCTCAAATGAAGGAAGACATTAACCTTCAGTTTATGAACAAGGGGAACAGGATATTTCAATCTTGCCCTAGTCTTACTTCAGAGTATTCAGAATGGCTAAGTAAGATGGAAAAAGTGTAGGCCCAGGTCTGGAAGGATATGGGGATTTATGACTTGATCATGTTGTCGAAGACTGGGTTACTTTATTTCCCTCTTATGTTGGTATCTTTGTTGTACTGCTGGGATAGTACGCATTTCACCTTCCATTTACCCTGTGGAATGGTGACT